AAACGGAACGTGTGCACACGCCGCCAAAAAAGGTGGCTAACAGTCAAAACGGTCTGATCGGTGGACTTCTCGGCCACGACGGTCGGGTTTGATNACAGGGGAAACGTGCTCTGCGTTGGTTTCGGGGAAAGCTGGCTGAAGCCGATTTAAGTTAAGACGTTGGGCGAAATCATCGTAGTTGAAGTTGCGTAGTGGGGTAGGTGCGACGACTTTCCCGGGGAGGCGTAGTGTGCAGCCGAAAGCTAAAGAGGCCGGTGTGGTGTGTAAGTCGGCCTTTATCGTGTTCCGGATGCTCAAGAGGACAAGTGGAACGGCCTCATGCCAGTCAGAACCGGAGTGTGCTTTTAGGGCTGCTTTGAGCTGTCGGTGGAACCGTTCGATCAACCCGTTAGCTGCAGGGTGGTACGCGGTGGTACGGGCGTGCGTGCAACCTAATATATTAATTAGGGACTTCAATACTCCCTCAAAATGAGAACCCCTATCCGTGGGGACGGTCACGGGACTTCCGTAAGTAGCGACCCAACGCTCGAGAAACGCCTTGGCCGAGGCTTCGGCGGAGCAGTTCGGGAGTGTGATGGCCTCGGACCAACGCGAAAAGCGGTCAATGCAAGTCAAGAGGTATGTGAAACCTGCGGATGTTGGCAGGGGGCCAACCAGGTCGACGTGCACGTGTTAGAAGCGTGCAGTCGGAGAGTCGAAGACACCTAGTGTGACGATGTACCCTATTTCGCTGACACTCTATGCACGTGTGGGCCCAATGAGTTACGTCACGATTCATTTTGGGCCAGACGAAACATTGGGAGACTAACTTAACCGATGCGCGAATCCCGGTATGTGACAAGTTGTGCAAGGTATCGAAGACCTGCTTCCTATAGGGTTGTGGCACTACCGGGAGTGGAGTGCCTGTAGAGCAGTCGCACCATATGCTACCGTCTGAAGTGGTGAGGGGAACGAGAGTAAGCCTGAGCGAGATGTTACTCTTAAGAGTCTCCAGCTCGGAGTCGGACGTCTGTGCCTCGGCGATCTGCGATAAGTCGATGTTGGCGTGAGGAACGACGAGATGGATGCGTGACAATGCGTCGGCGACAGGGTTATGCTCGCCTGAGACATGTCGTTTATCCTCAGTAAACTGAGTGATATAGACCAAGTGACGAGCCTCTCTGGGAGAGTACCTATCGGAATTGGAGCGGACGGCATAGATTAGGGGCTTGTGGTCGGTGAAGACCACAAAGGAACGGCCTTCGAGCATGTGTCGGAAGTGCCGGATCGCGAGGTAAATAGCGAGCAGCTCGGGACTAAAAGTGCTTTTTCGGGATTCGGACGGTTGCAACCGCTTCGAGAAGAAGGTGAGCGGTTGCCAGGTGTCGTTGATCTGTTGCTGCAAGACCTCCCCTACCGCTACGTCGAACTCATCGATGGTGAACGCTACAGGGGCGCCCGGAACGTAATGTGAGACAGAGGCCATGTTGGAGATGGCTTGTTTAAGGCCTTTGAACTCCGTGCGTGCACTGTCGGTGAACGTGAACTGTTTAGGATTGCCTCGCAAGAGGTCCGTCAGTGGTTGCATAAGGGTGGCGCACTTTGGGATGAAGCGTCGATAGAAGTTTACCAGCCCTTGGAACCATCGAAGCTGTTTGAGCGACGTAGGTTCCGGATACTCCGAAATGGCAAGCATCTTATCCTGTAGCAGTGCAATGCCAGATTCCCAGACGCGATGACCTAAAAAGGTAATGCTAGGTTAGCCAAAAAGGCACTTGGCAGCGTTTATTGTTACACCATTTTGGCGAAGACGAGTGAAAAAGGGCGCGCAGTTGCTGCTCGTGCTCCTCCGGGGTGGCGCTGGCTACTAAGACGTCGTCTAGGTAGACGAAGGTGTTATCCAAGCCTTGACAAACCTGATCTATGAAGCGTTAGAAGGTTTGAGCGGCGTTGTGCAGGCCGAATGGCATACGCAGGAACTCAAACGTGGTGGTCACCGCGGTCTTGGGGACGTCCTCAGGATGCACTAGGATTTGGTGGTACGCGTGCACTAAATCGATTTTACTAAATATTCTACGTCCCCCTAAACTAGCTGTGAGATCCTTAATGTGAGGGATGGAGTAGCGATCTGGGGTGGTGAAGCTGCTTAAAGCGCGGTAATAGCCACACGGCCGCCAGTTGCCAGAGGACTTCTTCGGACCATGTGTAATGGTGGAGCCCAAGGGCTGGAGGATGGTCGGATAGGTCCGAGGTCCAGCATGTGCTGAAATTCAGCACGGGCTATTTGGAGTTTGTCCGGGGCGAAGCGTCTAGGGCGGCAGTGTATCGGTAGGCCGGGTGTGACTATGTGATGGATGATATCTGTAGTCGCTTGGGGTAGAGTATTCGGCGGTTTGCGCTATTCCAGGAACTCGGAGAGAACCGCTCGGAACCTGTCTGTGGAGTCGGGTATGTACAAAAGCGGGTGGATCGAAGGAGTGATCGCGGGCGTCCCGAGGGTCTCACATGTGGTTAGATGGTCTATAAGTTTATGGCCTACCGGATCAAAGATGAGGTTGAAATGCCGGAGGAAGTCGATACCTATGATAGACTGTGGAAGGTCGGCGATGATGCATACCCAAGGTAAGCTACGACGAATACCGAGGTTCAGTGTGAGTGAACGCTCGCCGTAGGTTTTGATGGGTGTGCGATTCGCAGCGACCAGTTCCACGGAAGAGAGACGATGTAGATCAACGGGGCGAGTGTATGACGCTGACCTGTGCGCCTATATCTACCAGGAGGCGTATCCCAGTATGACGGTCGGCAACGAAAAACAGGCGACTTGGTTGTGGCGAGCCGGAGACGGTCGTCACCTGGGCCGGTCGGCTAACTAATTTCCCAACCTGGGGGTGTAGGTGCACGGTGTGAGACACCTCTATGCGGCATCACCATAGCGGCGGTGATACCAGCAAATCCCATTTGACGGTAAGCGGGCGCCTTGGGCTACGGCCCCTGTGGCTGGAGCGTAAGCGATGGCGTTATCGTGGGCGGTCGCGGGACAAATTTAACGCCTGAACCTGTGCGACTAACGCTTTAACGCAAGCTACGAATACAACGTTGTCGGAGGAAGACGGTGGGTGTGCTCGCTGAGTGAGGGACTGGACCGACAACTAGTCTGCGTATACCCTGTCGGCCATTTCTGCTAATTCGGTCAGTGTGTAGCGTTGGCCAAAGAACTACAGTATGGAAGACAAGCTCTTTGGTAGAGCTTGCATCCAGGACAAATGGAGGATGTTCTCATCGACGTTGAGACTGGCCGCCTGCCCCTGCATGTAACTTAGCAGTTTCGTGGGTGTATCCAGGCTTTTGTCACCGAGGCGCATGCCACCTAAGGGCTGTTCAGGGCGGCATTCCATCGGCATGCCGAATCGGCCTAGGATCGCGTCCTTAAGTGCGTCGTACGCACGGTCGGGGGTGGGTTACATACGCTGTCACGCAAGCCCGGGGCCATAGACCTCGGGAGGTGACCTACAAGTTGTGTGAACTTAGCTGGTTGATTTGTCACCCTAGCTAGCTTGAACTGTGCCTCTACCTGAGCCAGCCAAAATTCAGGATCTTCAGTGATGAACTCAGGGATGCGGGCTAGCAGGCTCAAAACGCTCGTCTCCTCTGTTGCGGCTATAGCACCGTTCTCCTTGCCTACAGAAAATTGAGTAAACATTGGGTACGGTGTAAATTAAGGAAGGACAAATGAATAAGAGATTTGCAAGGATACCGGAAAAAACGTACTGGTGCAATATAAATGAATGAGTAAGATAAGTATCCAACCATATAGGTGGTTAGGCAGTACACATAACGGAATACTTGAGGAATCGTAAGCAAAAATTCGTTTAACGGTAAAGACAAGTAGCCATTACAGTAAAACCGTTAAAAGAAAGTAGAATGAATAATAACAGTACAGTATAAATAGAAAAGTAAAGAAATGTTGTGCGGAGGCACCAGACTCACTACAAACTTGCAGTCCGTGGAGTGCTAAAAGGAAACGGGGTAAATAAACTCGGGCTCACCAATTTAGCGCATTAAGTTGGGTTGCAGTGATGACGCGTTTACGAATTCAGTAGATCGGGGTTATCGAACGTTTCCCCGGAGCGAGAACGGATTGAGAAGGAAGTCAGGTACGAGCGTTTGTAGTTTAATGTGACCTGCAGTGGAAAGTGTACAGAGGGCAAAGCGCACGATACGACTCACCGGAAATTGTGCCAAGTTCGAGGTCATATGTGTTCTCGAAACGGAGGACAATAAAACAAAATAGGGTCCTTACATGAGTCAGGGGAATGGTGTTGGAAAGTGAAAATCATGTTACTACAGAATCTTCACATCTGACAATCTTAGTCGTCTTCTAAGTGCCATCCTCTCGCTCCAAAGACTTCAATGGTTGGGGCATTTGCTGCCAATGCCGGTTCCAACAATTGCCCTATTTTGTCATGTTTGCACCGGCCAACACCAACAGGAAGCGGCCGCGAGGTAGACGAGTAACATGGATTCTAAATTTAAAGACGTTTGGGGTTCTAAGAATGTTGAACATCTATCGCTCGAGATACTAGCCGGCATGGCTTAAAATCGGCTTCAATTGTGCACCCGTTGGGAGACTCTTCCTCCAAATGTTGTGACCACATTGGACAACCTACTCCTGACGCGGGTTTCAGTTGTGATCTTCAGTCCCATAAGAGCGGGAACCATTATCTCTGTCATTATCGCTAGGTTGTGGCATCACTTACCTTTTAAACGGCTCAAAAGTATTCACGGTAAGAAATAGTAACCATTTAAGGTTAATAATAAGATGTGAAAATTGTCTAGTAAGAAAAACAGTTTGAGATTTAAACACCGTTCAGAAGTTTAATTTCACCCTTTCAGCCTGTATGCCCAAGTGGACTCATGAAAACGTTTACTTGGATAACGTGCTGATTCAGGAAGACAGCTTTTCATCTGCCTAAACTTGGTTTTGCATTGAACATCCCACTCACACATACAATCCCGATACAATGGATGGTTTCGTCACTGCCCGTGACCGACGATTAAGCAAACTCGTGCGTGAGCGACATCGCCCCTCCCACCTGGCTCGGCTGGCAATCTCCAGTGATGTTGAGGTTTGTCTTTACTAGGTTATTCTCTAACTTTCATTGAACAAGAATATTTCACCGGTTTACGGACATCAGCAAACTGACAATCAGGCATCTACGACGTTATCTATGACTCGTACTGAACTTAATCCAAGCGAGCTGTTGGATCAGGGGATCGAGGTGAGTGAATACGATCTTACTTTACTATTATTCTCATAGAGTTTCGGTTATGACCCAATTCAAAATGAAATTTTCTTGGAGGAGATAGTCCAAAATGGGACCACCGTAGGTTTGCACAGTTCTATGGTGAAAATTAACTGGCGTCTAGAAAAAACAGCACTGGATATCATTTTTAAGGCATTTGATACTGCTTCTTATTGGCATTTCGACCGGTGTTGCAGCCTCCCTCATTGATTATCTCATAGAACAGATTTCTGGATTAAAATACCGCATCGTTTCTCGTCGTATCCTTTTGTCTACAACAAATGTTTTTAAACACATTTACAATCGCCATTTTCCTTAATATTGTAGTTTTTGATACTTACCATAGCGGGCTTATGATATCAATCCCGGGGTTTGCGTGGTGTGCCATTAATATTCTGCTCACTGCGGTTGCCTCTATCTTGGTGGTCTTTCTGGCTGTAAGTTCTCATTTCCTGTTAGTTATTTTATTTTTGCAGCCTGTTGCAGCAGGTAGTGGTATTCCGCACGTGAAATGCTATCTGAATGGATTAAACATTCCCTTCCTGATGCGCGGTTTGACCATGCTTGTAAAAGGAGCGGGCCTAGTGTTGGCCGTATCCGGTGGTTTGGCTGCTGGTAAGGAGGGCCCAATGATCCATATCGGGTCGGTGATTGCTGCGGGAATTTCTCAGGGAAGATTGCGTTTTACAAATTGGTCTATGCGCTCGTTACGACATTTCCGCAACGATCAACAAAAACGTGATTTCGTCAGCGCAGGTGCAGCAGCAGGAGTGGCTGCTGCTTTTGGTGCACCGGTCGGAGGGTTATTGTTCTCACTAGAAGAAGGCGCCAGTTTCGTCTATCAGCGTTTGACGTGGACCATCGTGAGTTGAAAATTTTGCTGTTTTTGAAGATATGACACTATCAGATCTTCATCATTTTAAAATCACCTTCATAATAGAAGTATTTTTACAGAAAGTTCAGCCAAGATAATGCCTATCATACGAAACGGTTAATCAACTCCTTGAATATGTCGAAATGAACGTAAATTTTTTCCTGAGTTGCAATCATTCTGTAAGAGCAAGAGAGATAGAGAGAAAGGGTCATGTTGAGGTGCCATTCTTCGTTCTGCTCCTCAGTTTAAACTTTTGTGTTTGTGATTTTATCTTGTCGTTTTGTTTGTTGATATCATCGTCACCAAAATAACGAAGGGTGCTCAACTTCAGAGAATAGCAACACAGGGGACTTCTAGGAAAAGGTAAAAAGTGGACACTTTGCTGCTGTTTTCCAGCAATCCTCCTTTGCCATGAGCTGAATAGTTTTTCACTGTTTATGATTTCGCCTTCTGTATTCACTAATCATTTTTCAGTGTCTGTTTCAGTAGAATACGTGAATTCTGCATGTAGTTCAAACTGAACTATCCTCTTT